CCCGGGCCCCTCTCCGCGGCTCCTCGCCAGACCGCACCCCTCCGCCGGGAGCCGCCGCACTCGCCGCCTAGGCACCGTTCCAGGGACTGGCGTCTGGCGTGGAGGGGCCGACAGAACGTCGGGCACGGGGTCGAAGACGGAGGAGGGGGCCCAGCGGAGCCGGGGCGGAGAAGGGGGAGGTCAGGCCGGGCCGCCATTTCCCACGGCCAGTGAAGGGAGGTAAGGGCCGCAGCAGCTCGTGGCCCGGCGGGAGATCAGGAGGGATGGGGCGGGGGCGGGGGTCCCGCGCACTCACGCTCCGCTCCCGCAGTCGAACAACCTCCTGCTTGCTCGCTCGCGACTGACAGAGAACCGGAAGTGACGCCAGCCAAGAGACACCGGCCCCGCCCCGCTGGGACCGCAGACACGTGACGGGGTGTGGCCTCCCGCGGAAACCGACCCCGAGACCCTTTCCAGGGCCTTAAAGGGACCGCGCCCCCTCGTCCTGAATAGATTCCAAGAAATCAGATGCTGCAAAGATTGCATGTGATCTATGAGTGAATGAGGGAGCTAATGAAACAGGAGTGACGAGGACCCAGCTTTACACTTGTTCAATAAATGTTTTTCTATTGAAGTGAAGGGGTATTACTGAAAAAGATCAATACTGGACCATTTTCCCAGAAATGATCTTCTTCCTACCCTACACCACCCCTCAGTATATGACTCTGGCTGGTAAAATTCAAAGGAAGGAAGCCAAAGTCACGGCGTTTAATTCCGGAAAGTGCAAAAAAAATCTTTGTAGAAGCACTTGGCTGCACACCATTATCCCTATATTGAAGTCCTAGAGGTGTAAGGCAGTTCACAGAAGGCAAGAGAAATCCGTACTATAAGTAGAAATATAGCTAACAGATTATTTGAATATATATTTGATGAATGCCCACTACAACCAAGAATAAATATAAAGTTACATTTATTCAACAAAGAGTTATCAAAGGAAAATGTGATATATATACACAACTGGAATACTGCTGTGCCACAAAAAAGAATGAAATGCTGCCATTTGCAGCAACATGGATGAACTTAGAGAAAATTGTGTTAAGTGAAATAAGCCAGGCACAGAAAGAAATACCACATGTCCTCACTCATAAGTGGGAGCTAAAAAATAAACAAATAAATCAAAGGAAGGAAGGAAGGAAAATACATTGAACATTCAAAAGAAGAGAACAGAATGGAAGGAAGGAAAATACGTTGAACATTCAAAAGAAGAGAACAGAACTGAGGTGACCAGAGATGGGAAAGGGTGAGTAGGAGGGGGTAAGGGAGGAATTGGTAAAGGGATATGAAAAATGGTTTACTTGTCTAATGTTGACTATATTAATTATCCTGATTTCAGCATCACATACTGCACACGGGTATTGATAATCAATTCTGTACCCCACAGATATGTAAAATCAACTATGTTACCATAAAAAAAATTTTTTTTTAATGAGTTATCAAGGACCAGCCCTTGGCTCACTCGGGAGATTGCGGTGCTGATAACACCAAGGCTGCAGGTTCGGATCCTATATAGGGATGGCCGGTTAACTCACTGGCTGAGCGTGGTGCTGACAACACCAAGCTAAGGGTTAAGATCCCCTTACCGGTCATCTTTAAAAAAAAAAAAAAAGAGTTATCAAGCACCCACTATGTGTCAGACACTGTATGAGGCACTTTACATGTCTTACTAATCCTAACAAGCACTTTCCAAAGTAGGAATGATTATTCTCTTCATTTTATAGATGAGGAACCCAAGGGTCAACAGATTAAATAAGTTGCCCAAAGTTACAAAGGGAGTGAGTCATGACTCAAACTCACATTGCTACCTACTGAGGAAGAATGGATAAGCTCTAGCCCACTCAGCTTTATGCAGTGTCAACCTAGATGGCCACTTTTAAAAAATGAAACACTGTATACTTCCTTTTATAAGAAGTTTCAAATACAAGCAAAAATAAACTGTGGTGATAGCTGTCAACTTACCCTGGAGGCTACCACGTGGAAACAAGAAAGGAAGGAACCTGTTGAGGTGCTGAAAATATCTTGGTGTGGGTGGTGGTTACACAGATGTATACAGATGTAAAATTTTACTTAAGATTTGTGTGCTTTAAGGGCTGACCCCGTGACACACTCGGGAGAGTGCAGCGCTAGGAGCACAGCGATGCTCCCGCCGCGGGTTCGGATCCTATATAGGAATGGCCAGTGTGCTCACTGGCTGAGCGCGGTGTGGGCGACACCACACCAAGGGTTGCGATCCCCTTACCGGTCACGAAAAAGACAAAAAAAAAAAAAGATTTGTGTGCTTTAGAGCATATAAGATATACAGATTGCTATGAATTGAATGTCTCCCCTCCCCCCACCCTCACTGAAGCTTAAATTGTGTCCCCCAAAGTTCCAGGTATTGGAAACTTGGCCCCCACTGTGACAGTGGTGAGAAGGTGGGAAATCCTATTGTGATGATCGAAAGGTGGGGCCTTGGGGAAATGATTGGATTGTATGGGCCATGCCCTAGTTCACAGGCATGATTCTAAGGTCTTTAAAAGGAGAGCACATGAGAGTTTCACTATCTCTCTCTGCTTCTGCCTTCTCATCATGTGATACCCTGCATCACTGAAGCCACCACTAAGGAAGACCTTCACCAGATGTGTTTCCTGGACTTTGGACTTCCCAGCCTCCAAAACTGTAAACAATAAATTTTGTTTTCTTATAAATATCCAGCTCCAGGTATTTTGTTATAAACAACAGAAATGGACTAGTACAGAAAATTGGTACCAAGAGTAGAGTGTTGCTTATAACAAATATTTGAACATGTGGAAGTGACTTTGGAACTGGGTGTTGAAGGAGCAGGCTAGAAAAAGTCTAGAAGCTGGTGGGAGTATAGAAGACAAGAAAACCAGGGAAAGTTTGGAACTTCTTAGAGACTGGTTAAATGGTGGTGAGCAGAATGATGACAGAAATATGGACAGTAAAGGTCAATCTGAGGAGATCCCAGGTGTAAATGAGAAGAGACTTATTGGAAACTGGGGCAAAGATCACCTTTGCTATGAATTGGCAAAGAAACTGGTTACATTCTTCTCATGCCTAGAATTTTTATGGAATGTGGAACTTCAAGGTACTGACCCAGGGTATTTGGTGGAAAAAATTTCTAGTCAGCAAAACATTCGGGAAGCTGCATGGCTACTTGTAACTGCCTAGGCTTAGTTATGGTGGCAAAGGCATGACATAAAGTAAAGCCAGAATTTAAAAGGGAAGCTGAGCATAAAGATTTAGAAAATTTGCAGCCTGGCAATGTGGTAGAGAAGCAGAGAGCATGCAATGGTTCAGCTCAGTGCCCATTTGTTAAGAAGATTAGTACAAAAGAAAAGGATTATCAAGAGAAGGGAAAGAGGCCGTGAGGTATTTCAGAGATCTTGGAGGCTGTGTCTTCCATTACAGGCCCAGAAGCCTAGAGAGACAGAATTGTCTTGGGGAACACACCTGAGGTGCCCTCCACAGGCTCACTGCCCAAGGCCACCTCAGGAAGCTGCTCCCCACACCAGCACCCCAGCTGCTTTGGCTTCTAGCTGTGGCTAAATTGGTCCCAGGTGTGGCTTGACCCACAGCTTTGGAAAATACAAGGTGGAAGCCTTGGCAGTATCCACGTGGTGTTAGGACTGCAGGCTCACAGAATGCCAGAGCTATAGAGGCTTGAGAGCCGCCACCCCAATTTCAAAGGAGGTAAGGAAAAAGCCGAGAGGCCCAGGAAGAGATCTGTCACACGGGTGAAGTTATTGCATAGAGTCTTCACTAGAGCAATGCCAAAAGGAAATGTGGGTCAGAGTTGCAGCAGAAAAACCCAATCAAGGCCATGCTTAGTGGAGCCATGAGAGCAGGACTGCCATGGAGACCCCAGAACTGTAGAGTGCAACACCAGCCTGTGAGAGCTAACGCATGGCAGGAGACCAGGAAAGCCATAGAAGAGGAGCTGCCAAAGGACTTAGGGACCCCCACACCAGCATGCAGAGGACATTGAACATGGAGTCAAGGTACCTGATTCACCAGCTTTGAGATTTAATGCTTGCCCTGCTGGGTTTCAGACTTGTTTAGGATCTCTTACCCCATTCTTTTGGCCTATTTCTCCCTTTTTGAACGGGACTGTGTACCTATGTTTGTCCCACCATTGTACCTTGGAAGTAAATAACTTGTTTTGATTTCACAGATAAGTCTTTGGACTTTTGAGCAGAAACAATTAAAGGCTTTGGGAACGAATTTGTATGTGGAAAGAACATAAGTGTTGGGGCATCAGGGGCAGAATGCTGTGGATTGAATGCCCCCTCCCTCCAAACTCATTGAAACTTAAATTGTGTCCTCCAAAGTTTCAGGTATTGGAAACATGGCCTCCATTGTGACAGTGCTAAGGGGATGGGAAATCCTATTGTGATGATTGAAAGGTGGGGCCCTGGGGAGGTGACCAGATTGTAAGGGCCTTGCCCTAGTTCATGGATGTGGTTCTGAGGGCTTTGAAAGGAGAGCACATGAGAGTTTCTCTGTCTCTCTCTGCTCTGCCATCTCACAATGTGATACCCTGAGTTTCTGTGGTCACTACCAGGACAAGGCCTTCACCAGATATGTTCCCTGGATGTTGGACTTCCCAGCCTCCAAAATCGTAATCAATAAATTTTGTTTTCTTATAAATTACCCAGTTCCAGATATTTTGATATAAGCAAGAGAAACAGACTAATACACAGATGCTCCTCAATTTACAATGGGGTACTTCCTGATAAATCCATCATAAATTAAAAATATTCTAAATCAAAAATGCACTTATTACACCTAATCTATCAAACATCATAGCTTAGCCTAGACTACATTAAACATACTGAGAACACACTTTAGCCTACAGCTGGGAAAAATCATCTAAAGCCTATCTTATAATAAAGTGTTGAATATCTCATGTAATTTATTGAATACTGTACTGAAAGTGAAAAACAGAATGGTTGTATGGGTACTCAAAGTACTGTTTCTACTGAATGCCTATTGCTTTGCACTATTATAAAGTCAAAAAATCATTAAGGTGAACCATCATAAGTCAGGGACCATCTATACTTCAATAAGAAAGTTGAAAAATAAAATAAAAATATTAAAATTATATTGTAAAAAGAAGAAACACACTCAATAACCACCGTTTTTGCTTGGTAGCTTGGTAGCCTGGAGTTTGCACATCCAAAGGCCGTTAGGGAAGCTCCCACCTGGATGCTAAGGCCGGATGACCAAAGTTTCCTTGGGCACAATAGTGCCCTGGGGAGTTGTGGGGGAACCCACTGTTCAGGATGTCTGGTTGGACTGGGCTCACATTGAGAGG